AAATAAACTGATTTTACTGAAGGTCAAGTGTTAAATTTTGAGAGATTAATGCAATTTGCTAAAGCAGAACCTAAGCTTGATGCACCTTTGTCACAAATTTAATTCATACTTTTTAAATATTGAAGAAAAAATAAATCATTAAATATTTAATTAGAAGGAAAAAATGAAGAAAAATATGAAATAATAAGATTAATTAATTAATAATAAAAGTAAAATATTTGAAAATAAAAGGATGAGCTAAATAAATTAGCAAAGAAAGAACAAAAAAAAGCAAGCACAATGAAAAGAAAAAGAAAAAAGAGCTTTGTTGTTTTTAATTAGTCTTTATAATTAAAAATATCACAATGCAAAACAAATAAACTTATTTTACCTAAGGTGAAGTGTCAAATTTGAGAGATTAATGCAATTTGTTAAAGCAGAACCTAAGTCTGATGCACCTTTGTCACAAATTTAATTCATACTTTTTAAATATTGAAGAAAAAATAAATCATTAAATAGTTAATTAGAAGGAAAAAATGAAGAAAAATATGAAATAATAAGATTAATTAATTAATAATAAAAGTAAAATATTTGAAAATAAAAGGATGAGCTAAATAAATTAACAAAGAAAGAACAAAAAAAGCAAGCACAATGAAAAGAAAAAGAAAAAAGGGCTTTATTGTTTTAAATTAGTTTTTATAATTAAAAATATCACAATGCAAAACAAATAAACTTATTTTACCTAAGGTCAAGTGTCAAATTTGAGAGATTAATGCAATTTGCTAAACCAGAACCTAAGTCTGATGCACCTTTGTCACCAATTTAATTGTTACTTTTTAAATATTGAAGAAAAAATAAATCATTAAATAATTTATTAGAAGGAAAAAATGAAGAAAAATATGAAATAATAAGATTAATTAATTAATAATAAAAGTAAAAAATTTGAGAATAAAAGGATGAGCTAAATAAATTAACAAAGAAAGAACAAAAAAAAGCAAGCACAATGAAAAGAAAAAGAAAAAAGAGCTTTGTTGTTTTTAATTAGTCTTTATAATTAAAA